CGAGCGGCTCCAGAGAGTGCACTGCACTTCGGGTCACCGTCAGAGGGTGGAACAGTCCGGGCCGTGGCATTCAGACCTCCCCAGGGCAGCGGTCCTTAGACCAGGCTCAGAGGTCTGCACATCAGACAGCAAGTGCTGCTCCTCCTCCTCCTCCTCTTTTTTCCCTTCTCCTAATGATACTGGCCACAAGACCCAGGACCTTCCCACTGACCGATGGATGATGTCCCCCAGCCCCTTTTATTTTTTAAATTTTGAGGAAAGCTCTCCGTAAGTCTCTAAATGGCACAGGTTGGGCTGGCACTTGGGATCCTCCTGCCTCAGCCTCGCAGAGTGCTGGCATTGACAGGTGTGCACCGCCTCACGCTCCCCTCACCCCAACATCAGGTCTTCCGACCCACAGACGCAGCCTGTCTGTCCACCTCTAGGTCTCCTGCAGCTTGGACAGGCCTTGTCATTTAGAGGGTAAGTAAGCTCTGCTCTTCCTTTGGTAAGTTTGGCCCTTCATCTCTTTGGGATGCTGTGGTAAATGAAATATTTATTTTAGTCACTGCTGCTATGCAAATATGATGGATCTGTGCATAGTGGTCTTCTTAGGGCCTGTCAAGATTTTTAAAAATTAGTTCTTACGGTTTTTAGTGCGTTTCTGGGGATTATATATATATATATATGATTATGTCAACTGTGGACACGATCCGCTTCACCATCTGTCGGAACTGTCCTGCTCCACCCTCCAGTGTCACTGCAAATACAGCCAGGGTGACAGTCCTTGTCTCTGTCCTGGTGCAGGAAGGACACCAGCCATTCTTCCTCCATTAAGTGCCTGTGGGAGTTTTCTTCTGTGTTGGGGGACAGGGCCAGGCTGGGCTCAACTCACCGCAATCTTCCTGCCTCAGGCTCCCTGAGTGCGGGGAGCACGGGCCTGAGTATCACACCCAGCTTGGGGATCTGTGGGGTGTTGTGGGTGCTCGGTATAAGCTTAGATTCTCCTCTATTTCAATAGTGCAGGGTTCTATCAGAGGCCTTTTGGGGGCTACACCAAGATAATCACATGATTTTTGTCCCTTATTCTATCAATAGATCACATTTATTGATTTTCAGATGTTTTAAATCACCTTGGGGTCCTGGATGAAGTGCAGTGGATGGTGGCACACACTGAGTGCGTGTGAGTGTGTGTACACGTGCGTGCACACGCACTGCAGGCTGGGAATGTGCTGTACCACCGAGCCGCCCCCAGCCCTGTGCACTCCTGTGCACAGCTGGATTCGCGCCTCAGCTGTTTCTGCATCCGTAGCCAGCGCCCAGCTGCTGCCCCCCCCCTCCCGTTACACAGACTTCAGGACAGCCGGCCGTGCTTGCAGTCCCTCCCCAGGACCGTTCTGTGTGACCCCTGCTAGCGGGCTGGACCCCCCCCCCACCCGCAGGCCGCCTGCCCGGTCACCCGGGAACACGCCCCGCCCCTTCTGGGTGGCTGCTGGGCACCGTCCTTGGTCCCTAGCGTGCCCTCTGCTCCGGGCTCTGGGACCCCACTCTCCTGGCCCCTCCGTCCCTGATTCATCCTTTGCTCCCGACTTCCACCCTGGGCAGCTCCGGGGTCAGCGTGTCCTCTGCTGTCCCTGCCCTTGTTTCCTGTGGCCATATCTGGGACCCCAAATTCCCCCTCCACCCTGGTCCTTTCAAGTGTCTACCTGCCTGAGCGACACCCAAACGGAGGCATCTCAGAAGTGCCGGCACCTAAGCCTCGGACAGGCCGCGTCTGTGGGTCGGAAGGCCTGATGTTGGGGTGAGGAGAGCGTGAGGGGTGCACACCTGTCAGTGCCAGCACTCTGGGAGGCTGAGGCAGGAGGATCCCAAGTGCCAGCCCGACAGCCTTTCCTTCCTCACAGCTGCACGTCCTGGGCTTCCTGCTTCCTCCCATGGCCAGGGTCCCTTCTGAGGGCTGTGGTCAGGACACCGGGAACTGCCCCTGGCGTCCCCCAGTCACGCTCCACAGCTGTCCCGACCGGGGAAATAATCCAAGAGTTCATCTCCAGCTCCACAGAAATTATTCTGCGTCCCCCCACAGACACCAAAACCTGCAGGCGCTCGAGCCCCTTCACAAAATGCACAGGTATGCAAAGGTGACTGTGGTGCCTAACAGAATGCCCACCCGTCACCTGGGGACAGATACAGTTCCTTGTGGTCCATGGTGAATTACAGCTGTGGCCGTCCAGTCCACCTCCCCATCACAGCGACTGTGCCGGGCAGACCCCAGAGCCACCATGGCAGCCAGCAGCTGGAGGGAGCCTGGCAGCCTTCTTCCTCCTCCTCCTTCCCTTCCTCCTCCTCCTCCTCCCCCTCCCCCGCTCCTCCTCCCCTTCGTCCTCTTCCTCCTCCTCCTCTTCCTCGTCCTCCCCTTCCTCCTCCTCCTCCCCTTCCTCCTCCTCCCCTTCCTCCTCCTCCCCTTCCTCCTCCTCCTCCCCTTCCTCCTCCTCCCCTTCCTCCTCCTCCCCTTCCTCCTCCTCCCCTTCCTCCTCCTCCTCCTCCTCCCCACCTGCCTGGCCTCCTCACCGCTCCAGGGTCTGACACCCAGGCGCACTCTGTTGCCATCTCCTCACCCAGAGGTCACCGAGCTCCAGCCCCCACACTCTGTCACTCTGGTCCAAGCCTCCACTAGGCTGTGCCCTCCAGGCCAGTCCCAGCCGCAAGTACCGCGGTTGGGGGCTGAGGGGTGAGCGAGCAGGCGGGTGTCAGGAGGGGTTCCACACTGATGTCCTCTCTGGGACAGCGGGCTCAGACATGGTGCCAGGGGCTGCCCACTGCCAGGGTCCCCCGGCTGGCACACTGGGCCAGCTCCTGGGAACCCAGGAAACCGCAGGGCTGGCTGAGCCTCCGCCAGGACCAGCTTGTCCCGGCTCGCCCAGCCTCCCCCCGCCTGGCGCCCTGCGGTCCCTCCAGCTGCCGGCGCCTGTGGGGACCCTGCTGGTTCTCGCCCACGAGTCTCGGGCACAGCTCACGGCCCGGGACAAGGCGAGGCCGTGTCTCCTGGGACTGTGCCAGCAGAGCACAGACGGATGCGTGGTCACCGGGCACCATGCTTGGGCCTGCAAGCGGGTCCCCCTCTGGGCGCTGCCCAGGGGGCTGCTGTGGGCGCCGGAGCCGGGCCTGGCTGGGCATCAGAGCCCTGGGCCCTGTGCTAGGGCGGAGAGCTTGGCCACTCTGCTGCTTGGATTCTCTTTCCTCCTCTTCTTCCTTTCCTCCTTCCCTTCCCGTGCCACACACACACCTGTGCGCCCGCAGCCCAAACCCTGCGGAGAACGTTCCAGAAACCCGCGCCCCCGCCCCATCCGTCCTGCCATCCCTGGTCCACTGCAGTCACCTCTCTGCCTTCCTTACGTCTCTGCCTCCTGACGCTCCACAGATACCGAGGATGACTTCTTCCTTTCCCTTGTATAAATGCAACCATGTACGCGTTATTGTTTGCAGTTTAGCTCTGCATCGGTTTAAAATTTCACATACGCTGCCGGGTGGAGACGAACTAGATTCCCTGGGGTTGCTGTGGAGTCTCCGGCTATTTTTAATAATAGTCTTCCCTATTTTTTCTCTTGAAATTATTTATCCTTTGGGTTTCTCCTGTAAGAGAAACCACGCAATATCATCACCACAGATTCAATGCTCTGCTGCGCCCAGGTGAGCTCCAGGCTACCATGCACGAGGCTGCTGTGGACACAGAGACATCCAGGCCCCCACACAGCCGGGCACAGCGCCCTGCAGGACCGCAGTCTTTTCCCAAAAGACTGGTAGTCAATTTTAGTTTTTTAATTTTTAGTTTGCTTATTTATTTGATTTTTTGGAACTGGGTTCAAACTCAGGACCTCGAGCTGTGTCCCAGCCCTTCCTGTGGTCACTGTGAAACATCTTTCCCTACCCCATGGGCAGGATGACGCTGTGAGCCCCAGAGTCTCCTGTCCTCCTGTCCTGGATCAAAGCCCAGCCTCAGGGAGGCTGCAGGGGTCGCCAGTCCTCCCAGGCCCCTGCACTGGGACTGTGGACCGATGAGTGATGGTCAGGGCTCAGGGAGGCCATGCTCACCACCTGACACCGGCCCGAAGCCCAGGAGGACAGCCTGCAGCTGTCACAGCTGCGCTGACTTCTGCATGAGGATCAGGAGGCTGGATAAAGGCGGTTGGGATGGACAGGAGGACAGTCCCAGTGCTGGGGAGGAAGGAAGGGCCCAGCCCAGTGGCCGGCCAGCTCTGCGGGGCTGTCCCCAGCACAGGGACCTCATCATGGAGTTCTTTCATGACTGCTTCCCAGGGACAGCAAACAGTGCTGGGAATTCACCGGCAGCTGACCATGCAGTGCCCCCTCCATCCCCACCTGCCATGTCCCCGCTGCCACCTGTCCTGGCCTTGTGGCTCTCTGGCCACTCCGTACATGGCAGCCTGAAGGTTTTGTATAAATGAGATCATGTCCCTGCTGTGTCCTGCAACCCTGAAATCCTGCAGGGCCTGAGCCCCAGCCACCTCTCTCTCCACAGCTCAATTCCTACCACAGGACCTTTGCACCTGCAGTCCCTGTGCCACTGCTCTTTCTGTGTACCCTGGGCTTGTTTCCCTGGGTCTTCACCCCAGCTGTCACCAGACACAGCTCATGTCTACAGATGTCTTAAGTGGAAAAAGGAAGATGGGCAGAGGCACCTTGTTTACTCCTGAATTCTGTTGTCTGAAACAGCCCAACACCTTGTAGGCAACAAAATTCCAGCAAGCAAACCAACAAACCAATGCCCCACTTTAGAATATAGGAAGAACCAAGTAAACAGCATGATTTTCAGATCAGAGACGAGGAGTGAGTATGGGGTCAGGGCCGGGTCCAGACCCAGGACAGCAGGGTCGCGAGAGCCAGAAGGACCCTGCAGGGGCAGAGCCCGTGTCCACACAGTGGACCCCACGTCCCCTGCCGGGCTGGCTTGGTATAGGGTGCGAGGCGTGGGCAGCGGCTGCGGGTCGAGGGGGAGAGATTACCTTCACGCAAGGGTTCTACAGGGTTGGCACGCGAGCTACGGGCAGTACCTCCGCCCCGCGGGGCCCAGATGACCCGGCGGATGGCCTGTACCCAGTCCTCCATGTCCCTCCGGGAGCTGGCCATGAGCAGGAGCGCCTCGGGGCCAGCCGGCGCCTTCTCCCGCTCCCCGGCACCACCTGCAAGACAGGGAGACAAGGCTTAGCTGGGGGGAGCCGGGGACGTGGGGTCCCCACCACAGTAGCTGCCTGTCACCTCCAGGCTCTCACACCCGCGCGCACCTTCCCTCTGTTTTCCCTTTTCTCCTCTAATCTCACTTTGCTGTTTTTCATATCAAAACGGAAACCGTGCAAAGTGCCCTAGGAAAAGCACTATTAGGAAGGGAAGTCAGGTTGCTGGCTGCTCAGCCACATTCGGTCCCCACAGCAGCCTGGCGACAGGCTCGCCTCAAAGGCACAGTTCAGGGACCCCCCACAGACTGGAGCTTTATGGAGCCTGGATATAAACCTGGCGGGAGCCCCACAGCCAGCACTGCCCTGAGGGCTGTGTATATTGGGGCCCTGAGGGCAGGCGGCAGACACCGCCCAGCGCCATCTCCCCACCAGCAGGCGGGGCTCTACAGGCTGCAAGCATCTCTGAGACGCATCATTTCTGCTGAGCTCTGTGAGCAGCTAGAGGGCTTGGAAGGAGGCGCCCGCTCATCCGTGTCCCTGCAGCCACCCTGAACGTAACCCCATTATCTGCAGCTCACTATCCCCCCCCCCAGGTGCCATAGCCACAGATCCCGACCAGGACCATCTGCTGGTGGGCTTGTTGGGGCACAGTTATAATGGAAGTGCACATTTACAAGATAGTAAGTTTACAGGTATTCCATGATCAATCAGAAGTCTCTGGCCAAGATCCTGTTCTGCTGTTACTGCTGAATTCCATTGACCCTGACGGAGTCCACAGCCCAGCTGCACACCTCTGATGACCGACCGCTGGTTCAGAGAAACCGTCTGTACTTTAGGGCACCGTCTTGGTTACTTTTACTTTTTTATCATTGCTGGGACAAAATACCCGATACCCAAAATGCAGGGAGGAAAGGTTTATTTAGCTCACTGTTTGTGGAGGTTTCAGTCAAGGCAGCTGGCCGGGCAGTGGGCCAAAATCTCAGCAGCAGCCAGAGCACAAAGTAACAAAACCAGCCTCTTCTGCCCTAGGTACACAGGCCACCACCCACTTCAGGGAGGATGCAGCACTCACAAAATCTGCTCCTTTGCACAGGATGAGCATGTTTACAAAGTAAGGACCCTGCTCCCTGCTGAGTCTGAGTTAAACTTCTCAAGTTGACACAATGTATCAATCATAACAGGCACCCTGGGCTGATTGAAGGGCCCCTCCCGAATGCTCCTGTATTATGGTGAAGCCTTTAACTGTGCTCCCTTTGTAAGGGTCCCTTCCCTGGATCCAGGAGCTTCTCCATTATGATAAACAACGCCTTTGTTTCAACAAATCTCTTCAAGACCAACCTGCCTGTCACTATGTGACTCAATGCATGTTGCAAATATGTAACGTTTTGTCACTTGCTTTGGACCTCTCACTTCTAGATTCTATGTAAACTAAGCTCTTGCCTTAAATCAGTGCTGTTGCCTTTGAGGAATTATCCGGCAACAGTCCGCTGGTGTAAGGGTTAAAGGCTGCCTTCTCATCTCCTCCGTGCAGTCTTCCTTGTGGTTGGGTATAGCTGGGGAATTTCCCTGCGACAGGCTGAGCTCCCAAGTGGGGCAGAGACCCGGGCTGCTCCCTGCAGGGTGGGGCAGGTGGGGTAGGGGGTGGCCACAGGCCCCCTGAATGAGCTGAGAGTGCAGGCCAGGGGCAAAACTGCAACTGACCTCACAGAGTAGGTAACGAAGGCTTCACTCCTTTCCCACGTTTTCAGAGTTGAGTAGGATTTCAATTATTCCTTTCTTAAGCGTTTGGTAGAATTTTACCAGTGTAGCTACTGAGGCCCGGATGTTTTCGGTGGCAGTGGTGGTGGGGTCAAGCTTGTTGGATTTTTATCATTTTTATTTTTCCTCCTTTGTCGGTTAGTAAACATTAGAAAGGCCACACGGTAAATGTCTTAGGGTTTGAGGGCAGATGCTCTCTATTACAATTCTCTGCTGGGCCAAAAAAAAAGTGCCAAAGCAGTCTCAGACCACTTATCAAAGAAAGGGCCTAGTTTGGTGATGTAAATTTCATTTGCAAACAGGTCGCCAGCCTCGGGACTGCAGTTGGCCGTCCTGTGTTTTATGTCATAGATTTCTGCTCTGATCCTTATTACTTGTTTTCCTCTGCTTGCTTTGGGTTGATCTGGTGTGCTGCTTCGTATTTATCACAGGGTTTAGTGCAACAGTCAGCGCCCCAAAATACCACCTTAGGGACAGCCCCAAAGTTTCGGCATGGCGTGCTTTCATTTTAATTCAGTTCAAAATTATTTTTCATTTCCCTCTGATTTTTTTTGACCTGTAGGTTCCTCACAAATGTGTAGTTTCCAGGTCTGGGGGACTTTTCAGAAACTTTCCTGTTACTGGTTTCTTACTCGAGTCCTCTGTGGGGAGCCAGCGCAGGGCTCCGATCCTTTCTAGGACCTGCTTTTGATCCAGCGCCTGGACTGTCTGTGCAGCTGCCCTGCACACTCAGGGAATCACGCGGAGGCCCCTACGGTCGCTCGGGTCCAGGTGGATCCTCTTGTTCAAACCTGCAGTAACACCCTCATTGATTTTCTGCCTACTTGCTCGAGGCAGAGGGTATTACAATCCCCACTTAAAATGTGGGGTTCGTCTGTGTCTCCTTACATTTCTATCAGTGTTTGCCTCATGTAGTTGGAACTGCTCTTAGGGGCATAAATCCGCAGAATTGTTCTGCCGGCGGGATCCCTGGGTGCTGGGGAACTGGCCTCTTGATCTGGGGTAACATCCTCTGTTGGGAAATCTTTGCTGCAGGGTCCCCCCCCCCACCGCCTTCTGGTTAGTGTCAGTACGGCGTGTCTTCCCAGCCTCTTACTTGTGAGAGAGTTATAGCTTTATAGTGTAAGCGCATTGCTTGTCAGGCGTGAGGCTGGGCTGGCTTTGTGATCCAATCCGATAAGCTTTATCTCTAATGGGATTATTGACAGCCTGGGTTTGTGTCTGTCTTGTGTTTGCCTCTGGTCCTGTCTATGCTGTTCTTCTTTGCCTTCAGTTAAATTCCAGTTAGAATGGAATTTGTGATTCCATTCTACCTTCTTTGCTGGCTTATTAATAAAAGTCAGTCGCTCTTAGCTCAGTGGCATAAGCGCCTGCCTTGCAAGCAGGCAGTCGTGAGTTCGATCCCCAGTACCGATAAAAAGGAAAAAGACAAAAAAAAAAAAAAAAAGTCCATATTCTGCTGGCCTGAACAATTTAGCAACACTTGTTTCAAATTAAAAAAAAGTGCTAGGGATGGAGCTCATTGCAAAGAGCTTGTGTTCAATTCTCAGTAACACACGCGCACAGACGCACATGTGCGCGCACACACACACACACACACACACACACGCACACGCACACAGTAGGGGATACAGCTTAGTGGCACAGTGCCTGCCTAGCAAGTGCAAGCTCCTGAGTTGGATACCTGTTAACAACAACAACAGAAAATGTGCCAGAGGGAGGCAGGCGAGGAATCCAGGAGAAGTGGCCGTGGAAGGCAGAGCCATGTAGTGGACAAGCACGTACCCGTCCCTTTCATCCTTGAAGGGGGAGGAGGCAAGCGGGGAAGAGCTGGGGAAGGTGGGCAGCTTCTAGAAGCAGGAGAGTTGGAGAAAAAGGATTCTCCTGGCAGCCTCTGGGAAGGAACCCAGCCCGTGGCACCCAAGAGCCCGTCAGACTTCACTGCAGAACCACAGTGGACGGTAAGCCCGAGCTCTCGGTGATTTCTGTGGACTGGTGGGAAACGAATCAGGGGGTCTCTACCATCGATCTTCTGAGGTTCACACGTCTTCGCACCTTTCTGTCTAAGCTGACATTGATCCCACAAAGAGTAAAGAGTATTATTCACATCACACAGTGCGGGTTTGATTGCTAAACATTTGACTTGGGGCACAGTGTCTGTGTGTGCGTGTATGCGTATTCATATCTTTCTTGAACATATGAAGTGTAGCCATAATAACTGCTTTAATGACTTTCTCTGCTACTTCTAAAATCCGTGTCGTTTCTGGGCTGACTTCGGCCACCCCTTTGCATCACTGTTTCCTCATTACACACCGTGCTTTCCTGCTGATCTGCATTCCTGGTATTTTTGGTTAGGTGCCAGATGCTGTGGTTTTTGAGTGGCTGGGTGCTGAGTATTCCTGTATTCCTATAAATATTCTTCATCTTTTCTTTTTTCTAAATCTGAGATGCAGTTAGTTTCTTGGAAACAGTTTTGCTCCTGACAGATGTTTCCTATAAGACTCATGAGGGCTGCCAAGTGCTCTGATAGGGCCAAATATCACATAGAAGGGAGGAGCCTTCTCCACGTCCTCTCCGATCGCCTCGAGCCACGCCATCTTCCAGCCTGGCAGCCAGGAGCAAGTACCGTCCCCTGCCCTGTGCTGGGGACAGCTCTGTTCAGTCCTTTCTAGTGGTTCTTTCTCTGGCCACCGTTTCCCTCTGGCATCTCTTTCTTGAGTATCCCGCCCTGCAAACTGGAGAGCTCTGGTCTCCACAGACTCCGTTCCGTGTCTTCAACCTGAGTCCAGTGTGCTTTACCTGGGGTCCCCCTTAGTGCACCCCAGCCGGGCATCCCCACAGTCAAAACTGAGGCACATGTGCCTCTTCTCGTCTGCCCATCTTCTAGGGGCCACTGTCCTCCACTTTCACACGGCCAATATCTCGGAAGCATTTTGTCCTTTTAGCCTTTTCTTTCTCTTCCTCTGGTTACTCTTTGAGGAGGAAACGTAAAGCCAGCTCTGTTTGATCATCCTGAACACCACAGAAGGGCTCAGCAAAACGTTACAGTGACTTCATAAATCCCGAGGGGCCACGACTGACCCCACTTTGCAGATGAGGAGACTGAGGCCCAGAGAAGTTAAACAGCTACAAACCAGCAACGGGAGGAGTTGGGTTGCAAACCCAGGTTCACTGCAGACTCACTGTCTTTTCTCAACAGAAAACCACAGAGAACAGGGGGCGCAGATCACAGAATCAAACCTGGGGTT